TAACCTAACCTAACCTAACCTAACCTAACCTAACCTAACCTTTTTTTTTTTTTTTTCTCTCCGGTATCGATAAGCTACGTCCCCCCGGTACAGTCCAGCCGGAACTTCTTCGGGGGGATAGCAGCGTTACCATCATTTATTAAAACAAACAAACAACACACCACATGACAAATGCTTACGACTATTACGTTTTAACAAACAGTATGAGGGGCCTCTAACCCCTCTCAGAAAAAATTGGCCACTGGCCCACAATAAAAATTGGCTTAACTAAAGGGATTAAATAAGGAGTTTGTTCCTCTTCCCGGGCCGGTATCGAGCAACCCGCCACCCTTGACTTCGCGTGCGGATCTGCCTCGTTCATGGGGTATCAACTGGTATTCTCTGCCTAATCCTCTCCTCCGATTCCCTCGTCGACATAATCCTTCCAATGAGATCACTCACCATGGCCCAACCATCCGCTGAAGACATCATGATGTCAACCAAATTATCTGGCGTGAGTTCGGTAATGCCTAGTTCAATGCATGCCATTCTTCTCCAGTTAGCCCATGCATCGCAGTAAAAAACGCCATGTTCTGCATCGTCCGGTGCTGCTCCACATTGCTCGCAAACTATTGACTCCTGTATTCCAAATCTATTAAGGTAAGCAGCAAAACAGCCATGCCCCGATAGCACCTGGGTTAAGTGGTAGGTTACTTCTCCGAATTTTCGACTAACCCATCTTCGAACATTCGGGCCTATAGGTCCAGCGTCCGTCTGTGCTTATGTCCCAATCGTTTTGCCAGTTGTTAAAGAGAGTATTCATTGCCGTCTCTTTGTTCAGGCCACTTCTGATGTCCGCCCTCTCCCTGGCTAGCAGTCGAACTGGTGGTATACTCGAGATCACTGCTGCAGCCGCATATGATATTGTACGATAGCTACACGCTACTCTCAATTGTGATCTCCTGTGCACTGACCTGAGTTTATTCCATGCCCTCTCTTCCATATGGTTCACCCAGATGGGGGCTGCATAGAGAATTCTTGAGGTGACGACACTGGCGAGGAGCCGTCTTGACTTTTGCCTAGGACCTCTCAGGTTGGGCATGAGGTGTCCTAACTGTCGAGCGGCGGCTGCGGCCCTCGCTGTTGACAGCTCGGCATGTTCCACGAAGGCTAATTTTTTGTCCAATTGTACCCCCAAGTATTTAATGCTGAGTTGTGACGTTATGGCATGTCCTGCGCAATTCACCGTTATCTCATTACGAACCCTTCTTCGTGTGAACACCAAGGCTTCCGACTTCTCCGCCGCAATACGCAGGCCGTGCGTGCTCAACCAGTCGTGAATCCGCGTGAATGCTTCTTCCAGGCTTTCCTCTATGATGAACGCAATTTCGGAGGTACAAAGCACGGCTATATCGTCGGCGTAGCCGATTATTTCTGTCCCCATCGGCATCTATATCCTCAGTAGCTCATCGTAAAAGATATTCCAGAGATCAGGCCCCAAAACTGATCCTTGCGGTACACCCATCGATACCTTTTTGACGAAGCTTCTTCCTCCAGGCGTGCTTGTAACTGATACCGCCCTATCCGCTAGGTAACTGGATAGCATCGAGAGTATATCAATTGGAACATTCTTGGCTCTAGCAGATTCTAGGATACGATCCCAAGGTGCTGAGTTGAATGCGTTTTTAACATCCAACGTCAGCAATTCCACCATCTTCTTGCTAGCTCTAGCGTCCTCGACTATGCACATTAGTCGCTCCAGGGCATCAAGAGTAGACCTCCCCACACTAAAACCATGCTGGTTGTTTGCTATGGCATATTCACCGACCAAGTGACTCCTTAACCTCTTCGCTACCAACTTCTCGAGTAGCTTGTCACATCCATCCAAGAGGCAGATTGGCCTGTAAGCTGAAGCGTTATCCATGGGTTTCCCAGGTTTCGTGAGCAGAACCAGTCTACCTGTTTTCCAGATCTCCGGAAAGTATCCAGACGTCAAACTCCTGTTTAGCACGGATTGAAATCGTTGGGGGTACAGCATTACGGCTATTTTGATGGCCTCGTTTGGTATCTCGTCTGGTCCGGGTGCCTTTCCGTTCGGAAGCGACCTCGACGCTTCTAGGATCTCATCGGCCGAAAACAGTACGCATTCCTCAACCGGTTGTCTCGCTCGCGGGCTTGCTGTAGGTTCGCCGTCGGGGAAGAGCTCGGCAACAATAGATTCCAAACGTCCAGGTAGGTTAGCATTAAGATTTTGGGCAGGCTGACGAAGCCTTTTCATAACCGTTCGGTATGGCTTTCCCCATATATCTTTGTCCACCGTACTAATGAGGTCTGCCCAGGCCTTCTCTTTAGCGGTCTTGATTGCGATTGCCAGCAGCTTTCTCGTCGTTTTCCACTGATCGAGTTCTTCCTCGCTATCCACGTCACCGACTCTTCTCCTTTTCCGTTGATACGTACGCCTTGCTTTCAAGCAGTCTGACCGTAGAGCGGCAATACTTTCGTTCCACCATGGAACTGTTCGTTTGCTGTTCCGCGAGCCTTTTCTCGGTACACATAAACTCAACCCTCGTGTTAACCAATCGACAAGATGCCTAGCTTCGGCTTCCATAGTAGCTTGTGGGTGTGTTGAAAAGGGAGTGATGGTCAGTGCCAGAGCTAGCAGGTCTCTGTCCATATTCTTTACCACCCATCCGCTCCGCAGCTGGTTAGGAGTTGGGTTCGATGGGCCCACAGTGTACTGTATGTATCGATGAAGACTTAACGATTCCTCTTCCAGAACCTTCCATTCTGCAATCGTGCCGCGTAACCTGGATGAAACTAGCGTCAAGTCAAGATGGGACTTCGACTGGCCACGCACAAAGGTAGGGACGTTACCTTCATTACAGACCGCAAGGTCCAGAGCAGCGACCATGTCCGCCAAGAGGGCGCCTCTCGCATCTTCCTTTGGACTGCCCCACATTCTTGACTTTGCGTTGAAGTCCCCTGCCACTATAACTGGTATTACCGAGGATCTGACGCTCATTTCCAGCCTCATCAGGAAGTCTTGAAAATCTGCTAACGTCGAATTCGGGGACCAGTAGCAGCTGTATATCCTCATGTCCGATGTTTCCACCCAGCGAAAACCGTCTTCCACTGGTCCGGTCTGTCTTAGGGGGAGTGGGTTGAGCAGGGCGATCAACGACTGGCCTGTCGAGTCCGCTAACCACCACTCCGATTCCTGTCGGCTGTGGTTTTGCTCGCTAAGAAGCAGGAAATCCGCATTCCGTCTGATCGCCGTTGCGAGCGCCAGGTCTTGTGCTGCTCGCCCAACGCCAACGTTAACTTGTAGGAATTTAACCATCGGGAAGGATAACCTCCTCCGTTATGGTTCCTCGTCTACTCCTAGGGGTAACCTCGCTAGCTATCTCTTTGGAGAAAACAGCAGCCTGCTCTGCTGTTGCAGTGCACCCAACTGCCCTATGACCGAGCTGTCCACACCTCCAACAGCAGCTGCTCCTATCGGGTCCCTGGCAGACCTTAGCTATATGGCCGAGGCACAAGCATTTGAAGCACCTCGCCTTCTGTTCCGTGAGTCTCGCTCTGCAGCTGATCATGCCCACCCGGAGGCGACCTGTCTTCAATATAGGCTCTAGCGCTTCAATGGGGGCCGATACTAACGCAATCTGCTGGCCTCCGTATTTCTTTCTAATAGAAAGGACCCTGACTCCGGACGTGGCTTGGGACTCACGGGCGATCGCTTCCTCGACGTCCTTTTTCGTGGACCACTCGTCCAAATCTCGAATTTCCAATAGCTTTTCTTGTCTAAGCTCGCGCAGCGTAATTCCGGGTCCTGCTGACCGTGAGATCTCCGCTCGAACTAAATCAAGTTGTTCTTGGTCGCCACGTAGTTCAAACAGGAGTCCACCTGACTTTGTTTGCCGCATGCCGACCACGTGGTCCCCGATTACTTCACTCTTTATATCATTTCTAATCTTTTTTGCTAGAGCCGGGAAATCTTCCCTACTCGTGTCGATGATAACCGCTGGTGGCCTCCTCCTCAGATAAGGCATATTAGTCAGTTTTTTAGTTCGCTCCATGGCTGTATTCTTCTTTCTAACCACCTCAGTCCAAGCTGGCTGGGTAGGGGGGGCTGGATCAGAATTCGGTTTCATCGCACGCAATTTAACCGCCTCTGACCAGGAATAATCCTTCGAAGCCTTCATCGCCCGGATTTCCTCACCTTGTGTCTCGACAGCGCCCTTCAGTTCTTCGATGGCGTTAATCATCTTCATTTCCATAGACTCCGGATTTTTGTTTGTTGAGCTGACTCCTTTCGCGCTTGGTGATTTGATCGACGGTTCTACGTTAGCATTAGCGTCTCTGACCTTCCTGAACTGCGTCATCAACAAGGACGTTTTTGCGAGCGTCTCCTTTAGCTCTTTGTGGACGTTCCTGGTATTGTTCGCAAAGGTCACCATATTTGTTATGTAGCTCTGCACCATACTAAGTAGCTCCTCCTCTCCCAGTGTAGCAATGTTAATCGTCCTAGCCTTTTTCTGTTGTGCGGTCATTTGCGTCTCAGATGAGGTGGCCTCTCTGCCACGGGTGAAGGCGTGAGTTCCTCCACCAGCAGTCTCGTTACCGACTCCGTTGTCGGCGGAAGGTCCCTGCTTCGACGAACCTGCACCTTTGGTGACTTGAGGTGATGACGACACCTGGGGCGAGCACCGTCCCCCAACCGCCGACTCTGGGTGATCCGAATTCCCTGTAGCAGTAACATCTTTTCCGTTTGTCAAACTCATCATAATTGTTTAGGAGGGCTTAGCCGCCACTGCCGACGCCAGCCTCGTGTCGGTTGTCTTTGTTCCGTTCCTTATGTCCTGATCTAGCGAGGCACCGGGGGTCGATCGTTCCCCCGGTGGTGAGCTTGTCCGCGACCGCTTATTCGTCCAATCCCGTAGGGTATGGCTTATATCGCGGCTGCCCTGTATATCTACAGGGTGTTCCCCTATCCGCAACCTGGGGACGCGCCCGGTGGCATGCCCATGCCTCCCCGAAGGGCCGGGAACCTAACCTAACCTTTTTTTTTTTCTTAACACCGATTGACAGGGGCGGACTGTTTGCTTTCGCGTCACACTACTTACCCCTGTCAACCATCGTTTATTTACAAACTTACATCACAGGTCAGGAGGTGGTGGGCCAATCCCCCACTCACTGTCCCTTACAAACAAAGTATATACATGGTAACAGGGCTCTACCCCTGTAATTTTTGCTCTTCGAGCCACATTATAGTTTGCCTTAACTAACTTAATCTGCAACAGCTGCCGTCTGTATTTTCCTCTCATCAGCTTCTTTCCTCTTCATGATTGTTGTGATGTACTTCACGATAGTATCCCACTTCGATTTGGACTGCAGCATGAAATCTACCATTCGCTCTGGTGTAACATCCATTCCCAACTCCACTTCCAGATTACGCCTTTCTAGCCACCACCTGTCGCAGCCGATGAACGTGTGTTCAGCATCATCATGTGGGTCACCACAGTACATGCATTCGGCATCGTTCCTCTTCTTCCAGCGCAGCAGGTACTCATTGAAACATCCATGTCCTGACAAGAACTGCGTGACATAGAAGTTAACTTGTCCCCACTTTCTGTTCTTCCACCTATCAATCCGAGGTATTAGCTTGTATGTCCAACGACCTGAAATGCTCTGGTCCCATTCGCACTGCCAATTAGTCATCGCTCTATCCCTCGCTTCTTTTTTCACTTTTTTCACGTCATTTCCGTCTTTCTTTGCCTGATCGATTTCTGCTCTTTCCGCAGCAAGTAAGTGTATCGGTAAAATACCAGATATCACCATTATGGCTACGTTAGACACAGTGCAGTAAGCACTCGCGACCCTCAATGCCATATTCCTCTGCGGAGAAGCGAGTTTCTTTTTATTTACCTCGTACTTTAGTGCATGGCTCCAGATCGGTGCAGCGTACAGCAATTGTGAATGTACGTCCGTCATCAGTAGTTTTCTCTTCTCAGCAATGGGTCCTCCAACATTTGGCATAAGCCGACAAAGTCTTGTAGCTGTTCTCATGCTCTTTTCACTGACTGTCTGTATATGTTTTCTGAACCCTAGTACGGAGCTAAGCTGTACTCCAAGGTATCGTATGTCCTTCGCAAGTGTTATTTCGTCTTCGCCAATTTGGAATGAAGGCTTTTCGTATCCTCGCTTGGTTGTGAGCATTATTGCCACGGATTTACTGCTCGACAAGGACAAGCCTTGTTTTTTCATCCACGTAGATACAATCTGTAGCGAGTCGTTCATGGCTTCCTCCAGTAGCCGAGTGGTATACCCTGTGGCCACCACTGCCGCGTCGTCTGCAAAACACACTATATTAACGCCATCTGGGAGTTCTAACCGCATCAGCTCGTCGTAAAAAATATTCCATAGAATCGGTCCGATGACCGATCCCTGTGGCACTCCGGTAGTCACTAGGCGCTGTCCACCATCGGTTATGATTCTCCGCCCGTTGAAGTAAGATCTTATCACGTTTATAAGATACGCTGGTACCCTTTTTTTAATTAGAGCAGCATCGATCCTTTCCCATGGTGCGGAGTTAAAGGCGTTGGCCACATCAAGCGAAGCTAGCGCACACAGCTTGCGATTGTAAAGTTGGCCGCTTCCCACTTTGTTCACTATGTTCATCACTGCCTCAATCGCCTGATTAGTAGATCTACCTCTCATAAATCCGAACTGGTGCTCAGAGATGCCATCAGGTTGTCCTAGCAGGAGCCGTGTTATCCTCATTTTTAATAGCCTCTCGAACAGTTTGCCGACCGAGTTTATTAGACATAATGGCCTATATGACGACGGTTGGTCCAGAGGTTTATCACCTTTGCGAAGAAGAACCAGCGTTGCTACCTTCCAGCTGTCCAAGAATACTCCCTTCTTCAAGCAATCGTTGAAAGTCGGTAGCAACAAGTCTGGACGTACCTGCACTATGACCCGTAGCACCTCGTCTGGTACGCCGTCTGGTCCTGGTGCCTTCCCTCTAGGCAGACTGCGCCCTGCCTCTGCAAGTTCTGCTGTTGTAAGCATTTCGGATTCCTGAAGTTGGAACGATAATGCTGGATATACTGGTAGTTTGCTGCAAGGGAATAGGTGGTTGACGATAGTATCCAGTCTACCAGGGAGTTTAAGGCCTGGGATCTGGCGCCTACCAATTAGTTTCTTGGTTATCAGTTTGAAGGGAAAGCCCCAAGGATCAGTGTCAACTTGCTTGCACAGATCGGCCCAACATTTTTCTTGGCTTCTCCTGATTTCTAGTCTCAGTGCTTTTGATGCGTCTTTTGCAAGCTGGTGTTCCTCACTGCAGTCGTCTTGTCCTTTACGTTTTCGGGCCTTTTGGTATTTTCTTCTGGCTTGGAAGCTTGCCTTACGTAAGTTGGCGATCTTCTCCGTCCACCAATGTACCGGTTTCTTATGACCTTTGAACGATCTTCTGGGCATACAGCTGTCACATGCTTTTTCTAGGAAGTTTTCGAGACCTGCGTCGTCGAACGTTATCTGGCATACTGGATTGACAGCTTTTAGGAACGTTGTGAGTTTATCTTTATCTAGACGCCTCCATGACCACCCTTTCGTGTTTGTGCTGGTCGAATTCACATCACCCTCCATCCTAAAGAATATTGGATGATGGTCACTTGCCATGTCGAGCTCAAGGACTTGCCATGAGTTTATCAGCCTTGATGCGCTTGCCGAGGCAAAGGTGACATCAATATGAGAAGAGTAACCACCACTCTCGTACGTGGGAGCCTTCCCTTGGTTTATGACGATCAGTCCAAGGGAGCTCGCAAATTCCATTAATGCTTCGCCTTTGGAACACGTTGTGGGGGAGCCCCAGCCCGGAGAGTGGGCGTTAAAATCCCCCGCGACGATAGTTTCACTGGGTCCCTGTCGAATGCTGTCGCTCAGTTTACTCAGGTACGCTCTGTAGTCATCGAGTGAGTGTTTTTTGCTCGGTGAGAAGTAGCAGCTGTATACTCGGCATGTCCGGATGTCGACCCATGCGAATCCTTCACCTTGTCCGCTATTAATAACCTCAACGTTATTTGTCAATAGTATACAGCAAGAGTGATCTGTGCTGCCATACCAATCGTCATTGTTTAGGATTTTGTTGGGTTCACTAATGATGGCAACATCTGCATTTTGCTCATACATCGTTTCCAGCAACAGAGCTTGAGCAGTTCTTGCTCTGTTGAGGTTGACCTGTAGGAAGCCTGTCATTTTTAGTGTGGCGGGTTCGCCTGGGACATCTTCGCCAGGATCCCTTCTGCCTCCAATGTTCTCTCACCGTTACTGCGAGTTTCCTTCCTAAGAAGTTCACCAAAGGTTGCCGCCTCTTTCACCTCTGTGGTGCAGTCCTTCGCAAAGTGCCCTACTTTACCACACCGTCTGCAGCAATTTCTTCTGTCCATTCCCCTACATTCCTTCGATTCGTGATCAAAAGCCAAACATCTGTAGCAGCGCCTTTTTCGGTTCTCGGCTACACGGACTCTACAGCTGACAACACTTATGTTGATTCGACCACAGGCGACAATAGCATTAGCCTCGTTGGTAGGCAGTAGGACAAGTGCTGTCTGGGATCTGCCATATACATTTTTAAGACTGACTACATTCACCATGTCTCTCTTTACTGACGTCTCGTTAGCGATAGAGTCAGCGATGTCATCCCTGTTGGACCATGTGTCTATGTCTCTGATTTCCAGCATTGTACGCTGATGCAACTGTCTGACGTTTGCACCGGTTCCTACTGCACGAGATACCTCGGATCTCACCAGGTTCACTGCATCCTGGTCTCCACGCACCTCCAGAAGTAGACTGCCTTTCTTCGTCTTTCTCATCCCTGTGATATTGTTCCCCACTGAAATTCCACATTTGATTTTTTGTGTCAGAGCAGGAAAATCTTCCTCACTCGCAGCGTCGATCACGATAGCTGCTGGTCGAATCCTAACACCATGTCTTGATGCTCCTTTCGTGACTCTCCTGGCCTCAGATAACTTTGATGGGGGTGGGGCTGCAGCTGGGTTGTTGACCTTGAAAGCTTTCCCTTTCTTATTAACGACTTCCGCCCAGGATCCACCATCATTATTTTGCGAATGCGGGCCTGCGTACCCGTCATTCGCAGTTTCCCGAAATGATTGGATGTCATTGTTGTATTGGGTAATGGTGGCCATTATGATATCCAGCTTTTCATCTTGCTGTATTATTCTCTCTTTCATCCACTCAACCTCGGTGTGTTCGGTAGTTTGTATTGTCCGTGTTTCAGTCTGTGTAGTTTCACATTTCATGAGATGTGTGCTTCCGCCTGCGCTACATGTTGTGGGGTTATGATTCTGCTTGGTTCGTTCCAGGTTAACCGCTTTGACGTATTGCGTCATTACTTTGTTGGAGTTCACAAGGGTTTCTTTCAACTCCTTATGAACATTCTTGTTGGCCTGGGCGAAGGCACACATTGAATTTATGTACCCCCGGAGCTTGTCCAGGAGTTCATCTTTACTTAGTGCACCGATGTCGACGACATTTCTTATGGCTGCTCGGTTGACTGACGTCGTTAACTTCTCAGATGAGGTGCCTACAGTATCTTCAGTGGCTTTACGGCCACTGGAGAGAGCCTGTTTCGCACCCTCTCAGTTAGTCACAGTCGATTTACCAGCTCCGTTGCTGGCGGTAGAAGCCTGCCTAGACACTACTACGCTTTTGGTGCTTGGTGGTGATGACGACACCTGGGGCGAGCACCGTCCCCCAACCGCCGGCTCTGGGGTTTCCGAGGCCCCTGTAGCAGTAACATCAATGCTCTTAGTTATGTTCATTTTTCATATTTTTTGTTGTGGCTTAGCCGCCACTGCCGACGCCAGCCTAGCGTCGGTTGTCTTTCTTTCCGTCCGTGTTGCCTGATCTTCCTGGACACCGGGGGTCGATCGTTCCCCCGGTGGTGAGCTTGTCCGCGACCGCTTATTCGTCCAATCCCATAGGGTATGGCTTATTTCGCGGCTACCCTGTATATCTACAGGGCATTCCCCTATCCGCAACCTGGGGACGCGCCCGGTGGCATGCCCATGCCTCCCCGAAGGGCCGGGAACCTAACCTAACCTAACTAACCTAACTAACCTAACCTAACCTAACCCCCTAACTAACCTAACTAACCTAACCTAACCCTAACCTTTTTTTTTTTTTTTTTTTTTTTTTTTAAAGAACCGAAGACCGGGGAGGGAATTATCCGTTAGGTATTACTTCTCCCCGGCCCCCATCGTTTATTTGTAAATTCCACAAAACACCTTAAATGGGGTACGCCTGAGGCTAATCTCCCCAGTGTCCCCTTACAATTTCTAATGTACAATTAATACAATATTAATACAGTTAATACAATTAATATAATTAATACAAT